TTGTGCTTAGCTGTTATAGGTGAAAACAGTGTTCGTTATTGTTTTATTAACCTCAGGTTTGGTTTATATAAATATTCATAAAATAGTAACTTTTAAGAATGGTAACATACAGGTAAGCAAGACATGTTACAGGTATGTTGTACATTTTTGAATGGCTGCGTCTAATTGTTGTGGTTATCACTTCAACAATTCAGATCACTTATTAGGTCACTGACCTGACAGGCATCAGTGATAACAAACCAGTCATGACCCTTCTCTTAGAGGTGCTTTGCATGAAGGCCAAAGAGGCTGGACCTGGCTGTTGGATCCTTCCCTAGGGATGGATCAGTTCAGCTGCTGCTCTGAAAAGGACCTTTCTATTTAGATTTGAGCTTGTGCATGTAAGTGACTGGTGACTGCTTACCTGTCACTTCTGAGGCACTGCTGAAAGGGAAGCTGGGGCAACAATAGAGTAATCATTCTTAAAACAATAAATGAAGAGAATTTGAAATTTGAGGATTGAGTTTTTCCATCCTTCTTCAGATAATGCTAGTCTTGCAAACACCGTCCTCTAAATTAAACCATTTGAAATTTAAAGCCAGATTCACTAGTATATGCTAGCTAAATTACATTTTATGGATATAAATTACTTTTAAACTGTTCGAAAATACTGTGGGATAGCTTGCCAAGTGGGTTTCTTGTTAACGCCTTTTTGTGAACAAACACTAATGGGTAGTTTATTAAATGACACAGTTGTGGTTCTTGTGAATATATAGTGGCTTTGCTACTGCATTGTGTGCAATGTCCTTGTTACTGCGTTGATTTTCTAAATGCTTCTGTGTTAATGTTTAGATTTGAGATGAAGGCATCTCTTAGAATGTAATTAAAGACATATTTCAAGCTTTTGTAGATGTGACCGAAATATAGAGATGAGAGAAGTCTGTAAAAGAGAGGTTGTGCATCTGCTGGTTGCTATGTCCCCCTTTGCCAGGGATCAGGCATGGCTGAGTTGCTTTACTTGATGATTACTGAAGTACGTGATTTCCTGGGCTGCCCCTACTGTTAGAGAAAAAGTAATGGAATTTACTGTTGAGGGATATCTGTCTTAGAGATATTTTTCTGTGGTTCTTTGAAATGAGCTTCCCAACCTTATTTCCTGAGCATTGTCTAGACCTTCCTGAAGAACGATAAGCTGGCTAAACATTAGAATTCACAACCTTTCCTGGCTGAGATGCATTAAAAAAAGAAAAAGGAATCTCAGCTGTTAGTTGGACATGATAAAAATGTGAAAAATTTTTGGACAAATGAAGTGCCTTGTAATAGTAATATTGTTACAGGTTTAGTATTTCCACTTCTTAATTAGAAGCTCTCATTAAACAAACCACAAAACCACCTGTAATTACTGCAAATCATAGATTCACAGCCTTGCCAGTAACTCAAAGCAGATGGAAAAAAAAAAGCAGTATGCAGACATTACGGAGCAAGGGATATTTTTTTCCTTAGAAATTGCAGTGACATATTTTCAGCAAGAGATGCTGTAAGACAGATATGGTTAGTACATTTTCTTAGGAGACTGAAACCTTTCTTTTATCTCATCTGTACAAAAATCCATTTCAGAAACAGAAAGTACTATCTCTGTTGACTTTAACACTGTTGGGCTGTTAAGGGGAAAATTAAACAATGAAAAAGCAAAAGACAATACAAAGGCCCCGGATTGTTCTGAGTTCCTATAAGCTACAATGTTTTGTTGAATAGGATTAGAAAAACTAGTGAAAGACGCAGGTCTCTCATGTAATTAGCATTCTTGAAAATGAATTTATAGGTATGGTCATATAAGGGACCTTTCTGTCTGTGGATAAAAGATGGATGTAACTGACATAATTTCTGATGGATACCTAGTAGGGCCCCAAAAGAGTGCCTTATTTTCTCCAGGCCTAAAAGGTATTACAAGAACTAACTTACATGTACTAGCAGGAAGGTAGATAAAATAACTTAATCCATCTTAACCTGTTTTCAGTTCTGTGATACTTCCCTTGGAATAGATTGGGTCACTGCTGCAACTTAATGTTTCCTGACCCCTAGACAACACTGAGGGGGTACATTCAGTGAGCAGGTGCTGAGTCCGTCTTCTTAAATGATTGTATGCTTGCTAGTGTTAAATTTGGCTTCATAAGTGCATGGATTAATAAATTACTACCTTACTAATGATGGGGTAAGGGATAGGATTTCCAGAGAGGCGGTGTTACTAAGATATTCAAGGCCAAATATCGTGTCAACAAATTACTACTGCATTGCCTACTGGTTAGCTTGCAAGAGAGTTCATGCAACTGAGTCAGGATTTTTATTTCTAAAGAATATAAAAATAATGTCATCTTTTTATTCTAAATTATTCTAAAGCATCTCCTGACTCATGTGATAAATTGAAGAGACAGTATTTACTGGAAGGGGAGTAAGAGAAAGTTAAGGAAGTACAGGACAGAGTGTACGCTGACTGATTGGATCCAGTGCATTACAAACTCTTGAGAACTCAGAGGCATTTTAGGATAACATCTTTTTGCAAGTAAAATTAATGTGTAGGAATGACGTATTGTACCATCGTTGGGGTACTTCTTGACAGAAGTTTTACGGTCCTTGGAATTTAATACAATGAGTACCAGTTGAGATGTCTGCTTACCCACTGGACTGAGCTGCAGATGAAATTTTTTTTTATGAAACTCCCTCAAAATGGTAGTTTGCCAGTTTGACTCCAAAAACAAAGGACTCTCTTTAAGGCAGATTCTCTTTTCCATCAGAGTTTAACTTAAGCTGTTAAAGAAGGATTTTGCTCTCCAGACTTGACAAAAGAGCTGATCTAATCCCTCCTTTAGCTGAACAGCCTCAAGTTTTAACAAATTTCAGTCTTTGCCTTCTGGTGCTGGAAAGTAATGAGGGTCAGGCACTAGTTAATAATTTCTCAAACACTTACTTTGGAAAACTAAAGCATCTCAAATAACGTGATGCTGTTACTGCAGCTCAACTTACATGCTTTTCAGTTAAGCAAGTGGATACTCATTTGAGTTACTTAAGGCTCCTTGAGCCTTTTAAAAATTGCATATTTGTATTTCCCTTCAGAAATAAAATCATATTGTTATTTCAACTTGGTGTAAATCTTCTATAATTTTAGGGATGTTCTTTTGAAATAATCTATGCATTACAGTGTGTGCTCACAAAAGAGTTGTGACTATAACACTGACAGTAAATTTAGACTGTACATTTACATAGCTGTTTATTCACCTGATGAGTCACAGCAGCAGTACCTTCATTAGCCACATGAATTTTAACAATTAAAAAGATTCAAATGATAGTTTAATGACAAAGAATGAGCCTAAATGTCTATTTAAAATCCTTGTCTCTACACATTTTGGTTTGGCTCATTTGACACATCTCTACACTGGTATCAGAATGAGGATAAGAAAAGACTGTATTTGGAATTCTTTCAATGAAGGATTAAGCAATACGTATAATCATGTTAGTTTTTACTGTCTTTATTCCATCTCCCTTTTCCTAGGCTGAAGTAGTTTTGTCTTGTGTCTTCCTGGCAGCAGTAAATTTGCAAAGCTCCCACTGACAGGCAGAACAATGGCATTTTACATGTTACTTCCCACATGAGGCATTCCCAGGAAATAATTATATGGGAATAGATACCTTTGGGGACTGGAGCCATAAAGGATAGTGAGAAATTGGGCTAGCCAGTACCTGTCATGCTGATTCGGTCTTCTCACTGTTTCCTTGTACTTTCTCATCCGCTTGTATTTTTTTCACTCTTACAAGTACATTGCTGGGGGAGGAACTGTCATTCTGTTCTGCACAAGACTGGTTTTAACTTATTTTTCAGGTAGACAAGAATATTTCTTTGCCATTGTCTGTTAGGGCTTGGAGAGTTTAGGATGAGTTGGAGAGCTCAGAAAATAAGATTTCATTGGTTTTGCTGACTTTAATAGGAAATAATATACATTGCATTTTTCAAGTTTGCTTTTTTGCCACCATTAACTTCTGTCTGGAATAGGTCTCTGCTTATACCCTCTGTCCTTAAAGCAGCTGTGGGCTGTGCTTATATACTCTCCCAGTACAGTGCGGCTCTTGTCCACAGCTTGGTCTCATTGGTACTTCTAGCCTGAAGGACAGAAGGTTCCAGTAACTTTCCTGAAGAGGATTTGTGAACACCTAGTGAGGGAGGAAATTAATTACATTTCACTTCCATTTGTGAGGCACCTGCGAAACAGAAATACTCCTCGAACTTAAGAGACTGAAGAGATAGTGTACTGTACTTTCTTTTAACAAAGTTGGAGTTCTGTCCATAATGTAAGAGTTCAAGCCTAACACTAAAATAACTGTTGAGAAAGCCAATGTGCGGATTATGCTGAGAAGCTAACCATGTAAAAATGCACAGTGAAGACACCCAAAGCATCTTAAGCTTGTTCCTGTAGGGATACCCTGAAGGGAAAGTTTTCAGTCAGTCCATACATGGGAACCTGAGGAACCCAAGAGTGGAATGTTTTACCCTTGAGTTGTTTTACCCTTGCATTTCACACCCACACCCTCTCCAAAGGACGCAGGAGGGAAGCTGACATTGAGGCTCTAGGCTGCTCCTCTACAGTTTGCAAAAAGGAAAAAGAAGGAGTAGTGGCATTTCTGACGTCTCTTCGCTACTCTCCATTTAGAAACAGTACTTCACCGTAAGGATACTGTGAAACTGGAACGTTTCTCCAGGGACAACGAGCAGAGCAGGGACAGGAAAGGAAGGACTGCAGCTGCATGATGTGGTCACCGTATTCCCACTTGCATTCAGAAACTCTGGAAGCACTGTGTCTGCTTGATTCTCCTGGACTTTCTTGATTTTTGCTGACCCTTACACAAGGCACTGCCTTGAATCACAATTGAGCATATATAATCCTGAAACCACTGGAGAACCCTGCTACTGATTGAGTTTGAAAACCTGCTGTAATTTGTCCTGTCAAAGTAATCTTCGTATCACACCTCACTCCTTGAAAAGTGTTACTTTTATTGATGAGTCAGTGGTTGAAATGTAATAAATACTGGATAAAACTTATCCATCACGTGCGATGTATCTGTTAGCTTTTTGGCCTCAGCAAATTTGTAAGCAAGTGACCAAAAGAGCTTCATTCACAGTTGTGCACACAAATCACATGGATTACAGTCCACATCTTAAATGATGTGATTACACATCACATCTTAAATGATGGGTTATGAAACTTCATCATGGGATTTCAGGTATATTGGCTTAGAAATCTTCCTCAGCTTTTCCTGGTGACGCAATGTTCGGCCTTGTTTGTGGGCAAGACCCATAGGAGGCAGATGGATCTGGAAAAGAAAATCCCACCAGTTAGGTGCAAATTGAGAAGCTACAAGGAAAAGAAGGCATATATACAGACTAGGTGTCACTGAGTTTTAAATAATTTCTTCACATTCTGGAGAGGGCAACTGTACCGTCTCAAAACAGGTTATTAAATTTCTAGGAGGAGCGCTCTCTGAGGAGTGATAAGTGGTGTAACTTTCAGGCCCTAAATGTTGTGTTTATTAAAATCCTATACATTTTAGGCTTTAGTAACCTTGTTTTGTAGCTAGATATCAGACTGTAATCATAAAATACTTTTTTGAAATAGGACTGCTGACAATGTTCCAGAACAGTAAGACCTAGAAAACCCTAAGATTCCTGAGCAGATGTCTTAAAGCACTGTGTGCTTTATTCATACCTACCCAGTAAGTCACAAAATAATCCCAAACTGTACGTATTGAAAGACTGCCTTCTTATTGTCATGATTATATATACCATATTAAAATGATCAATCAATGTCATTGACTGCATAAGCAGAAGGAGCAATAGGTGACACGCTCTTCTGTTGATTGACAAAGTCTTTATATTTTCTAAGACTGTTAGTGGGAGTCATGCAGCTGTATCCCCCGAGTGACTGAAAACGTGGGTGTTAGTAGTCAGATGTTAGTGTTGCTGAGGCCGTCATCCTGTAAGATAGCTGTTTAGGTGCAAATAGTAGTAAAAGCACTGACTAAAGCAGCAACAGAGATTTCTAGAATCTGAAAAATAACGATCATCCAGTTTGTCTGAGAGCACTGATCTACAACCGATCCTTTGGGATTTCAAAGCCACTGAAGAGTATACATTTTAAGCCCATTTCTAGGAGCACTGCTTGCCAGATGTGCATTGTTATTCTGTGTACTGGAGAAAAAGAAAAAGCTATACGTGAAACAGATGCTAACAGTGATCATACTCTAGGCAAGCATGTGATGAAGATACAATTCAATTTTGACCATGACCACCTTGATAAGGAAAATATAGATGTGAAAACGTAAACTAGAGGAAGTCTCTTTGGGAGGCAGCATACAGTACTACAGACAGAAGTGACTAGGCAGTAAGGAAACTATATTGAATGGTGCAATAGAAGTCATCGCTGCAATTTCCAGCATTTTGGTAATCTTGGACGTGTTTTTCTCTAGGAACAGGGGAAAAGAAGCAGCAACATAGGCAGGTGTTTTATAAGACCTGATCTATGACTGGAGAAACAGTTACCATTAATGTAGGCTATGAAAATTATTATATCTATGGCAGATTGTCCTGGTTTGAGTATTTTTATTCTCTCATTTGATTTCCATTACTCTCTTTTTCTACATAGTGTCATTCATTGGTCGGTCAAGACTGCCTAAATATTTGGAGGCCTTGGAAGTTTAGCTCATGCAATTCCATTTGGGTTTTGACTCCTTATTTTGAGAAGAAATTAGTCAATTTATAGTGAAAAAAGATAGATGGAAAACATTTCAATATACATTTGGCTTATTTGGCTCTGATTTAGCATAGCATTTAAATACCGGCTTATCTAAAAATGCAATGTGGTGAAGGTGATGTGAACTTATGGTTTTATTGTCCAGTGAGAGCTAAGTGGGTATAGTTGAAGACTTTGTGACTAGATTTATACTCACAGGTCTTGGGTAGGGGATGTTATAGTGAAGTCCGATTTCTATTCTTGCCTCACATTCTTCTATACACTGCTTAATCAACTTTGGATCCATTACCTAAGATCATACAAACAATTGCTTTGTACAAGTATAACAATTAGCAATTGCAAGCTCAAGCATAGATGATGCACAGCCACATGACTTTCTTCAGCTTTTTTTGGCAATCCCAAGGATACAATGATTGTTATTTCTCACATCCATAAAAGGTAACATTAGTATTTGCCTTGACTCAACAGTTCTGGGCTTGATGGCACTGGATATTAAGGCTCAGAGGCTGTCACGACTGAGGCTATACAAAGAGGTTTTTACCCAAACATGGTATTTTCTCTGTAAAAAGACAATACACATGTAAACTACTAATACATCTATGAAAAAAAAACACTCACCCATTTGTCACTCTGCAAGGTAGCTAGAGGAGAAAGAGAAGAGACTCCTTGGTCTACATTCTGTTATCATCTTATCCAGAAACTCCCTTTGAAGTCAGACATATGGTGTAAATTGTGACTTAAATTCATTTTTTGATTTTTGCCTGAATTTACCTGAATTTAGTCCCAGACCAAAATGGGATATAAATGAGTATTGTGATCTTGAATTACAAGAAGGACCTTTGATTACAATGGAGTCTGTATCGCCCCTTTCAAAAGGGGTTTGAAATTTCTTCCTTAAGAAAAAAATGAAAGTGCTTCTTTAAAAAGAAGTGCCAATAGTTGTTGCTTTGAAAAGAAAAAAAAGAAGTGTAAGAAGCTACTGAGCTCTGTTTGCCATTGCATGGGTAATGATACACTTAGCTAGCTTTCTAAAAGATCAAAAGCTGTTTCAATTACATAGGCAGTATCTTTGGAATTTAATTTTTTCTTGGCATTTTTTTAGTGAAAGCTCTAGGCCTTTTAGACCTACAACAGTTAATGAAGAGCTGAAATAGTTGGAGTTTTATTATTACTATTTCAGGGGTGAAATTTAAACTATAACCCGAATACACCAGCACTTAAGGTGAATGAAATTTTGGGAAATCAAGTCTTATATTCATATCTTAGCGTCCAATCACTGAGACAGTGCAAAGAGCAAGAGGACAATCATTCAGAAATTCAAAACTGTAAGGACACTCACGTTTTTGTTTTTTCGGAATAATGTTTTGGCTTCATTTTTAATGTACTCTTTCTCTTGAATCGTTTCTTCTATCTGTCCTGATGCTGATTGCCATTTTTTGGCTATTCGGAATATCTTGCGGTAAAGGCCAAGAACTTCTTGTCGAGTAACTGGTGTCATCTAAAAAACAACACAAACCCCCAAACATATGCATGAACATTTTTGTTGCTAAAAGGCCAGCAAGCAGTGTAGTTTTCCATGCAATGGAATTATTTTAAAAATATTTCTACCATCTAAAGATATGCCGAGCTATATGAAAAAAAACTGAAATAGCTCCAAACAATAATTAGCTGTTGAAAGCTGAAGACCCAGTCCAGCAAAGTATTTAGACTGATACCTAAATCTGTCTCCATTCAAACAGCTTGAGCTCTTGCTTGAAGTTAAGCACTTGCCTTAGCGCTTTGCTGAATCACAAGCCTTGTACAAGAATGCCTGGGTTGTGTTTCACTGCTATTTTGCAACATATATTGGGCAAGTCACCGAAACTCTGAGCATCCCCCTTCCTGTGAAATTGTCATACCAATACTGACCCTATCTTTGCAAAGCATCTTGAAATCTGTGAATAAAATAACATGATAAAACCACCATGATATTGCTGAAAACTGGTATAGGTTTCAGAGGCTGAGAAGCTTATTTGTGATACCACTACAGTATGTAGTAATGGTTCAGCTGGATTTTGATGTGATGAAAAGGTGATGAAAGCTATTTTATCTAAGCACTGCAGGAGAGGCAGACTAACTATGGATTTAGGAAAGTCCTGAATGTCTTGATTTTCAGAGCGCTGTGTACCTGCTGAGCCCACTGAATCAGTCTCCAGGTGCGATAAGAATCTTTGTCAGAAATTGAAAATGAAATCCTATTCTTATTATATGTAAATGAGTATTTTATCATGTGAGTGGTGCCACCATTTCATGTCAGACCACAGATATCCCCGAGAGTAATCCACTACTGAAATAACAGCACTTCTGACATGGATTAGATTCACAGAAACAATGAGATCTGCTTTAGGGACACTGCAGCTGTCGAAGGTACCTTACTGTCCAAGAGGAAGACGCAGCAGCGCTGCAAAGTAAGTATATGGATACAATGAAGAACAAGTGTCAGGAACAGGACGTTATCTGAATGTCTCAGGATCCATTTGCCAACCTGGAGCTCTAACTGCTGTGGCTGAATCGACCCTGACATCAGACTCGTGCGCTGGGAATAGCTCCTCTGGACAATTTGCAGCGGGGCAATTTCGACAGCCTGAACGGGCCTCTGGAGGGAGCACTCTCTCTCTCGGTGACAGGAAAAGCTGCTTCCTAATGCATGCACCCAAATTACTGCGGAATGTTTGGCAATGTGGCTGTCACTCATCTCCTTGCAGTCTGTGCCAATTCCTATTATTGTGGAGAGCAGAAGAGAGTTTTGCACCGAAGTCTTCTCAGGCCACAGAGTTCTCCAGTGGCGGCATCCACCACAGCAGGTGACCTTCACGAATATTTCAGTACCGTCCTACTGTGGCTTCAGATAGTCACACTGTCTTTTCCTCACTGGAGTTACAGATGCTAACCTGAAGACAGGATTTGGCCTGTAGTTCTTTTTGCTAAAAAATCCCAAACTATTAAATCCTAGTCTTTTTTGTCTTAAGTGTTGTGATGACCTGAAGACTTTTTGTTGTTTCATGAACTCTGTTAGGAATCTTAAGAAGTACAGACATAAAACTGATTTTCTCTGATTCTTAAGAGAGAACATTTTTCTTTTGCTATTTGTATTTTAAAATGTTTAACCAATCATATATTTTCGTCCCAGATGTAAAAGTGATTCTTGCTATCCAGCAGAAAGTATTTCTAATAAATGGTTATGGTATTTCTAGGAAACAAATATCCACAATGAAACAGCTAGGTAGTCCCAGCTCGTCAAACACTTTGGAATAAATGCTTCACCTTATCAACTCTACAGCTCCATTTCAAGCAATAAAATTAGTCAGACACGAAGCTACACGTATACATGTATCTGAAAAATCATTGATTCCCTCTGTTGACTGCATATTTTGTACAGAAAATAAACAGTTCAATTACAAGAGCTGACCTGGTGCAAGCTGAGTCCCAAATCACCTCCTCACCTAGCGCCCCTCCTGGCCTCACTCTACTTTTATTTGAAGGTGTCACCTCTGGTGGAGCTGGTAATACTCTTTGTTCCCTGCTGACAGCTCATAAAAGGTAGTACTGCACTAAAAAGTTTCAGCTTAGGTTTTCATGTAATAGGAGGAATAATGTCAGAGGAAAAAAATGTTTAAAATACAGGTTTAAATTCTGATCTATGCATTGGACAATTTCCAAGGCCATAACTTGGGACAGTGCCCTTTGTTCAGAGCTGCAGTCACACCTGTTGCTTTTGGATTTTAAACATGCTAAAAATCTGTTCATAAAGATTTCATTTAAAAGTTTAGAACCAACAATTATTTTTTCACCCACTAGTTGCTTCCTCTCCCCCACCTAGAACTTATTTTTTCTTTCTTTAATTTCTTGGTGTTGGAATTGATACAGAACTGTGTAGCCCCTCATCTAGGTATGGGCTGTATTATTGCTCTCCTTTGACATATGCTATATGATGTAAAAGCCATTAAGCAGCTTTTCATATATACTTAGCAACCAGCTGCTCCTGTGGCTCATTTTAGTCAAGAATTTCTAATGCTACAGACCTGCTCGTAAACCATTTCTGCAAAGATAACATAAATGAAGGTGTGAGGAGCCCTTCAATGATAGAGGACCCCCGTCTATCACAGGAAAGGATGAGAGCAAATAGGACAAAATTCAAGGCCTGGGTCAGATTCTGATCTGAGTGGGAGTGTAAATAGGGAATAATTCCAGTGAGAGCAAAACTACTTCCAACTTAAAATGTTGGAAGTGAGATTGGAGTATTTTCCCTTCAGTATGAACAGAGCCCACACCGACAGTGACGGTACAAGTCATGTATCAGGTGCAATTTCGTCAAGTGACGCTACTTGTATTAGTTTTGTGGGTGTGCAAAGTAATTCTGAGTGGGACAGAAAGGAAGATAAGGGAGGCTTTCATGTCCTTGTAATTACTCATCTTGCAATTTACATCTTTGGCATTTAAGTCATAATTATATTTCACATCTCTGGAATGCTAAGTGGATGTTACACCACTTTCCCAGTAACACTCATCTTGTGGTAGTCACACCCATTGTTTAACTTCTACTACCCTTCATTTCATTGCAGAATGTAGCCCACAGAGGTTAACCACAGGTGTTTTTGTCAAAAAGTACAGGGCTATTGTATTAGCTGAACAGATTTCAGGTGTTTACTGCAACAAAACAAACTGGGAGGTCAAAGGTAGGTCTGTAGACACAAACCTATCAATGGGAAAAATGGTAGATTGCAGGCTGGTTTTGAGCTGATTGTTAGAATTAAGCCTTTGGAGGGAAGCCAAGCGTTGCCTTCCAAATACGCATTTGCTGGATGCCGTGGCAGAGTTCTGACAATGCAGGGTTGTATCGTTCTTTTGATCTACATGCAAACCCCTGTTATCAACATGCAGATCAAGCACATGAAATATCCCATTGTATCCAAACTTGCAAAGGAAGCCTGAGCAGTTAATGAGTTACTGCATGATGAAGACGCAAACTTTTTTCATTGTTAATTAAAACAAATAATCCTTTAGACTATAAAATGTAATAACAAGGGGGTTTTTTTTTAGGAATCAAATATACATTCCTTTGGATTTTTAGATGGTTGACACAGAAGTTCAATAATCTGAGTAATCAGTGAAACACCAGTCGTCTTTTGCTATTTGCAGGTTTGTTTAAAATTTAAAGTTAAAGTTTATATAAAAATAAGGAAATAAATCTGTCAACTGTACTGCAAAGTGACCCCAATAGTGCGGTCAAAGCAAAGTTAGGACAGAGGGTGAGCTGCATGGAGACTGACTACTTATGTATGAGCAGCTAAATTACAGCTGCTTCCCAGCGAGGGATGCTTGGCTCAGAATGCGTGTCCAGCACTCTCCTCCTGCCTGCACAGCCCCTTTGCTGAAGTTGTAAGTCTATTTTATTTCATCCTTTCTTTTAAAGTCAAGCATTAGCTACTCACTTCAAGCATAATATCTGCCAGTAGCGACTACATAGAGAATTTTAGGAAAGAAAGGGTGAAAGTAATAGCCCATAAGGGAAGAAAAAAAGGGTATTTTAAAACAATACATCTCTTCTTTTACATCCCAGCTAACTAGGGCACGCATTAGTAACACACACTTAGTGCTGATGCTGAAACCATATTTGCTCAGGGGAGGAGGTGGTGGGGAAGAGAACTCTGCATGAAATAATTTGAAAAAGCAGCTTTGAACTTCTCAGATGTAAAATGTTTTATTTAGGAGTAACACAACTTCTATCTGACAGCTGGTTTGCTACTGGCAAGGAGTCCTAAAGACACAATGACAAACCACTGGGCTGATTGCCTTCTGAATCAAGCTATGATCACATTTCTGTTACAGAAATAAATTACATAATTCAAAAGCAGAGCATGTCAACATTACAGTATGGAACATCATCAGCTTCAGCCTGTATGGCAATCTGTATCTCATATTTTCAAACATACTCTTTGGCTACTGCTTATTTAAAGAGATGCAAAAAACTGCACATAGCTGGCTTTTTTTTTTTTTTAAGAGCTAAATTATACCACTTAGCTAAAGAGTGACCTGCAGTCTCTCTCCTGCTGCTAATGCAACAGATAATCAATCATTCCTTTCACAGCTATCCACAGCAACTGGAGCTCAGTAATCTATATTCATCTTTCGTGCAAGTCTGCCAAAATGAGTCTGCGGTTCTTAAGGCAGCAATGAATTTGGCCTGTCATTTCCTTGAGGGACAACAACTGAAACAATGAGTTCCTGTGGCACAGAGAGAAAGGGTCACAGATTCCTGTGATAGCTGGGCAGGTCACGTGCCTTCCAGTGATATGAAATTTCAAAATCCAGTTTCCACAAAGTCATTTTATCTTCTTTCACTCAAATCAATGACTTAGTGGCCTGTGACAGCTAGTACACTGCAAACATCGACCACATGTGGCTGCAGCAGGTACCTAACAAAGTGAAAACTTAATTTGATTTTCAGTCTTGATTGATACCTTGGGTTTTTTAAGATTCAGCCAAAACCAAATCATAGCAAAAATTCAATCACAGCTAAAATATTCCATCTCCACATGATGAAAAACAAACTAAAACGAAAGATCATATTCTTCCGTGATGGTGTTACATCCTTATTTCTACCAATGACTCAAGCCTGTAAATTTCAAGACATTTCCATCAAGAATTAATTTGACTCCAAGTATTTCTGTTTCCATCTACAAGCTGCAGTCATAAATCTCTGCAGATTTGGTGAAAAAGAACCAAGTTACTAAACCGTTATTCAATAATGATACCTGAAAGCAAGGTGACTTTCATATGGTTTTAGATTTTGTCATGCCAGTCTCTTTCTGCTGGGAAACTGAAGTGAACTGAAACTCCGAAGAACACCTCTGAACCAGCCTGAGTTTTGTACATCCACTGTTCATCAGCTGGGATGAGAACTCTGCTATTGCATTCGTGCCTCGGATTTCTGACTGAACTTGGATCCCTTTTAAGCTTTCGTTTACATATGGAGCGGTCTTTTGATCAGAAAAAGGAAACTTCATGCAAAGAGACTATAATTAAATAGTAAAAGCAAGGACTTGGATTTTATCACTGGTTTTCCTATGTAATTTCAGATAAGTGAAATTGTAGAAAATTAGGACATTCTACAACATTCTCTTCATTTGAATAAATGAAAGTGGAAACCCTTAACTAGTTGCTTTTTATCACAGAGTTTTCATCTTCTGAGGTGGTCAAGGCATTATCTAGTTTTAGTAGGACATACAGACTCTTGCTCTGGGAGTGCCTCCTGTGCCGTGGTAGCCTCAGGAAGAACAGAAATGCTGACTTAGCATAGAGGAGGAGAGGAAACAAAAAAAATTGCTTTACATATTTCTTAGCTTTCTCCTGAAAAGCATGCAGTGTCCAGGTAAACTTGAAAGCAATATGAACTCATGCAACCCTGTCACTCATGCTTTCATACATTTAGAACCATTTTCTCCTCCTTTGTGTTTAGTTGTCTATTAGTCACAAGCAGAGAAAGAGGTTTTAATGCAGTGCAACAAATTTAGCAGGGAAAATGAAGTCTCAGCTAGCCTTGGATGGCCTTACTTATATAATATAGAAGCAATATGAACACAAAACCCAGTATGGATTTATGCACCTTATTCATACCTTGGCTTCGAGCCAAATGCAACTGAATGCATGAATAGAAATATTTCCCAGCATTGGAACCACTCCCAAACTTGAGAACAGGTATAAATATTAAAGCTAGCAAAGAAACAATCCTCCCTACCCCCTTTCTTACTTTGTTCTGTGGGCCATTTAGTAACACTCCTTTCATGAACCCTCTGCTTCAGTTTCCAAATGCTCCAGTCCCAGACACTGATAGATACAATTTTTAGTCACAATCTGAGAACTATAGCAGGACATATTTTGAAAAAAAGATTTCTTTTTTTTTTTTTTGAAGTCAAGTGTTTAAATCCCATTATATATATAAATACATATATATATATCCCATTGTATAAATTCAACAAAGCCTCACACAGTGCTTGCACTGGACTCTGCTGAATGGCGTATGGATCGGCCTTTGGGGCCTCCTGCCTCTCTGACAGCACAAGGGCAGAGGAACGTGGGGCCGGGGGAAGTGCCGTTCGCTCTGTCCAACAGTCGTCTCTGGGTCTCTGTGGGGAGAGCCCTCCAGCCCGGCGGTGACAGGACAGAAGGACACCCCCCTGACATAAGCTCCAAGTCAGCAGCAACTGCAGGCCCAGGTGAGAGGTTCTGGACTCATTACACACAGGACCTTCTCCACACCTCCTGGGCCATCCCACAGCCATCCCTGCAGCCACCGGTGTCATCAGGCAGGCACGGGGACTGGCTGGGCAGTGAGGCCATCACATTCCTCCCTCTGGGAGTCAGGCCTACCCCTGCAAAGGCCACAGCCATGGAGCTCAGGGCAGGCAGCAGCACTGTGGATGGACGCAGGGTGGCTGTGGGGCTTGATTGTCCTCAGCACCGTGCTAAGATGGCGCTGCCCGCCCCCACCCTTGCCCAGAGCCGCCCGGGCGCCAGGGGGCGCTGCAAGCGCGGGCGCCTTTCTGCCCCCTGGCGGCCGGGGCGGCGCTGCCCCCGCAACCGGGCGGAACCAACGCGTGAAGTGGGGGGCGTGGGGAGCGGGAAACTCTCCAAACCTCCGGCCTCTCCCTCCCCTCCTTCTTCCCCGCACGTCGGCTTGCCCACCGTCCACCCCGTCACTTTACCTTCGGGAAGGAGCGCGCTGGGACCCCGCTCCCCACCTTCGCGCGGCGGTTCCGCCCCGCTAAGCCCGGTCCCCCCGCTCCGGTGGGCGAGG